TGTAAGAATCCACAAACAGTCCAGAATTAAGGACTGAGTTGGCCAGTTACTGCTTTCTGTTTTCAGAGCTCTTCTATTTTGTATGAGCTCTTCAAGTAGCACCTCTTATTTCTTTGCTTCAGCTTCAGCTAAGTGTTCCTTTGCGAGCTGTTGTTGACAAAAGAATAAGCTATCTTGATGCTAATGAGTATGGTCATATGCAAAGTGTAGCTTACACTTGCTGTTGCCTTAATCTTCACAGAATCACAGAATTGTTAGGGGTGGAAGGGACCTCTGGAGATCATCCTTCCTGCCAAGGCAGCGTCACCTAGAGCTGGTTTTAGAGGAACGTGTTCAGGTGGGTTTTGAATGTCTCCAGAGAGGGAGATTCCACAACTTCCCCAGGCAGCCTGTCCCAGTGCTCTGCCACCCTCAATGCAATGATGTTATTCTTCACGCTGAGGTGGAACTTCTTGTGTTTTAGTTTACAGCCATCTTGTCTAACTCATTCTCCTTGTCTAACTGAAAAAGGCAGGTGGGAAATGAAGCCTTCATGTGACTTATGTAAATCGAAGATTTGGTAGCAATAGCAATGCTTCCAGTCACTTCAGTTCTTGAGTATGCACCTTCAGGGGGGAAGGAGAACTCACACTGCAACACTCAAAGTGCAAGGATATATAGAAGAGTTATGAGCTTGCATATACTGCATTAGTTAGAGAGTACAGCAATGAAAAACATCACTTAATGCATAATATATACACTTTTGAAATACAATGTGCTAAATCCCTCTTTATCCCAGAAGTATTATAGCAATCTTCTGTCTGTCCTCTACCTGTCTTCCTCCCTCTGGTTTTCTGACAAGAAGTGGAAGATTCTCAGAGAAAGGAAAAAATTAATTTTCTGTCAGTCACTGATGTTCCAGAGTGGTGTGAATGGTGCTGCATCCAGTTGGTGGCCAGTCACTAGTGGTGTTGCCCAGAGATAGTGTTGGAACCAGTCCTGTTTAATATCTTTACTGAGGGTCTGGATGAGGGGATTGAGTGCATCATTAGCAAATTTGCAGATGACACCAAGCTGGGAAGGCGGGGTGGGAGGGAGAGGTATGTCCTGGGGGGTAGGAGAGCAGGCTGGATAGATGGGCTAAATCCAACAGGATGAGGTTCAACAAGGCCGAGTGCCAGGTCCTGCACTTCAGCCTCAACTCCCTGCAGTGCTACAGGCTGGGCACAGAGTGGCTGGAGAGTAGCCAGGCAGAAAGGGAGGTACTGTTTGACAGCTGAAGATAAGCTAGCAGTGTGCCCAGGTGGCTAAGAAGGCCAATGGCATCCTGGCCTGCATCAAGAATAGTGTTCCCAGCAGGAGCAGGGAAGTGATTCTGCCTCTCTACTCAGCGCTGGTGAGGCCACACCTTGAGTATTGTGTTCAGTTCTGGGCCCCTCAGTTCAGAAAGGATATTGAGGTGCTGGAGCAGGTCCAGAGAAGGGTAACGAGGCTGATGAAGGTTCTGGAGCACAAGTCCTATGAGAAAAGGCCGAGGGAGCTGGTTTTGTTTAGGCTGGAGAGGAGGAGGCTCAGGGGAGACATTAATGCTCTCTACAACTACCTGAAAAGAGGTTGAAGCCAGGTAAAGGTTGGTCTCTTTTCCCAGACAACCAGCAATAGGGCAAGAGGACAGAGTTTTCAGCTGTGCCAGGGGAGATTTAGGTTGGATATTAGGAAGTAGTTCTTCACAGAAGGAGTGATTGGGCATTGGAATGGGCTGCCCAGGGAGGTGGTGGAGTCACCGTCCCTGGAGGTCTTTAAGAAGAGACTGGATGTGGCACTGAGTGCCATGGTCTAGCTGACAGGGTGGTGTTCGCTCATAGATTGGACTCGATGTTCTCAGAGGTCTTTTCCACCCTAGTTGATGTTGTGATTCTGTATCTGCTGGAATAATTATCAGTTCACTGCACAGACAGACAAACAAGTAAACTGATGGAAAGAAGTTTTATTCTTTGTCTTCCTGAGACAAATTCAAACTATCCTAAGACCACAAAAAAACCGTAGAAAATATTCTAGTTTTCAATTCCTTCCACACTCTGTTATTTTATGAGTCTGGATTTAGGATTCTCCACCTTCTGCACATCATTTTTGTCCTTTGTGGCTGCTGCCAGATATTGAATGTCTAATGGTATTTTATGTTTTTACCAAACAGTTTGAACATAATTTAATGTAATCACTTATCCAATTACCCGATGTTTTAAACTTTGTATTGAACAATGCTAAGTCTTTGATATGCTCAGTACAGCCCATAATTTAGAGCATAATCTCTGGGTTTTTTTAACTTCCTTTTGCTTACTTCTATACATTTTATATCTTCACTTCTATGTTTCCCCTCCTTCAATTTGAACTATATTTTCTTCTTTTCTTTTCATGATCAGCTGTTACCTGTGTTCCTCACACATCAAACTGCACACCTTGAAGCTCTGTCAGTTATCCATTAATATGGTAAAAATGAGAGTCTAATGCTAAGCTTTCTGCATTTATCATCTTCCTTTCACATTTGTGGTCATTCCTTGACTTTGTAAGCAAGTCAGCTTGTTGTCCAGTTGAGTATTACTTCCTTACTTTTTTACCCTACTCATTAATAATGTAGTTGGTACTGGATTAAAAACTTCCTTGGAATCCAAGTGAATAATATATGCTTCTTTACTTTTGTCCACTTTTATTATCATTTCCTCAAAGAAATAAAGCTTGTTTTTTATATGTGATTTCCATTTTGGTAATCTTCACACTGAAATATTAAAAATTCCATTTGCATGGAAGATCTGGGCAGTTTACCAAAATAGAAATGTTCCTCTTTATTTTTAGATACCTGTCATAATGCCATAAGCAATATTTAACATTTTACTGACAGTGCATAAAGCAGTGTATTTGGTACTGTACAAAATGCAAAAATATGTTTTCACATAACAGAAATGAACTACAGCCTAATAACAAAGTAGATTCCATCAAGAAATACTTTAAAATGTTGTGAAACATATATTTTATGCACAAAAATCTGCCAGTCAAGTTTTTACATCAGTTACAGTTTCATAAAGTACCCTGGGGTGCGACTCTGTGGCAATGTGAAGACAACAAAGGAAATATGAACCTGAAAAAATGTCACAAACACATGAAACCTAAAAAGTACCCATTAAATTTGATGGAAGAAGAATTACTAATCCAACATATTAGGCTGTTATATATTTAAAACTGGAAATCCTTTAAAAAGTCTTGCCACCAAACCCCTACGAATTCTACAGAGATTCATGGTGAAAAGAAGTCTGATTTGAGACTTTAATCACATCCTATTTTTTTACTTCTCTGAAAATTTTGTGGCAATTAAGGGCAATACAGACTTTTGTTAGCAACAGGGGTTTTTTTCCTTGCATAATTCATATTTCTTTGTGCATTATTAATTATTATGGATTTTAAATAATGACAAAACCACACAGGAAAATGTGATCATCATCTCTGTTTGCTTCATGAAATCAGAACAAAGCCTGGATTTGTGACTCTCCATGCAGAGAGAAGATAGTTGTGCTCCATATGGAAAGCACGGTCCCATAAACTTGACCACTGCAACCAACTTCCCAAGTTGGTAGTCAGCCTCAGACTACCTCAGAGGACTAGTTCTCCAGCCATTCATGTGACTTAATGCTTTTGCCACACTGACTGATGTGTCCTAACATTGTTTCTTGAGGGTTCCTGGCCCCTGGGGATTGTCCATTGTGACAACTGATCTTGTGGACCATGCAAGCCCTAAGCCCCCCGAACCACACCAGAGAGAGATGTAACTGGGAGACAAATAGTGAAGTGACAGCTGACATCTCCCTCTACATAATCTTGGACCAGCAGGTATCCTTCCTGGCATATTCTCTTTCACTTCTTTCAAAGAGGAGACACAGCTTGTATTGTATGTTTAGGGACTTCACTGGTCTCTGAGACTGCAGCAGTTCTTCACAACAAACCTTTGTCCCACCATTAATTTTATGGCATCACCAACACACACTGACATGTCATTACTGGCTCCCATTTTAAAGTAATGTACTGGAAAACATCTCAGGCAAATCACTGCGAATCTCCACTTGTGATCTCCTCCACAATGAAAAATGACTATTTACTCTGATGCTTTCTTTTCTTTTAACCAACTATTTATCTATGCAGGAAGCCTCCATTTTTAAGCTGTCATTGTTTAGATAGATTCAGAGTCCCCTAGCCTACTGTTGTCCCTGAGGCCTGCCCTCTACTCCCATGGAGTTCCAGTTCTTACCCTCAGTCCCACCATCCCTGTCAGGATTGTATTGAAACACACCCTAATTATTGCCTAGCCAGAGCTCAGGTTCAGATGCACCAGGTTCAAATGGTGGATTTGGCAGTGCTAGGTTTATAGTTGTACTCGATGATCTCAAAGGTCTTTTCTGACCTAAATGATTCTATGATTCTACAAACCTAGAAAGAGCAATATAGCAGTCATATCTTGTGAGATATATACATATATCACAACTCACGATAGGTCTTTTCTTCTTCTCCAGACTGTTTCTTCCACATTCAATTAAGAAGCACACTCTTTTCAACCACCTTTTCTGAACTTTGTCAAAGGCTAACATTAAGTTTAGACTGACGCCTCCTAGCACGCTCAAGGCACCTTCTATACTGTTCTCCCTAGAAATCTCCTGGACACCTGTCCTGCATTTCCTTGGAGTCCCTTTTCTACCATCAGTCTCATCACCCCCTGTAAGCTTTCTGATTTTTCAAACCCTAACCTTAGCCACAGAGACAAACCCTAGCCTGAAGCTGGATTCATGTTACTTTCAAATTCTGTTATGGGCTAAAGGCATCATGCCTTAAAAGAGAAGGTAAGAATGTAGCATTGGTCCTGTTAATGTTTTAATAATCTAATGGTGCAATTTGCTCCATTAATGCAGAAAGAATACTCTAACAATACACTTAAAATCTACAGTTAAAATTGTATATAAACTTCATTGTTCCTTCTCAGTTTCTGTGGTGCTGTGCTCACCTGCTGTATGTCCCACTGGGTGCTAAGGTCGACAACTTCCATCTTCCATAAAAGGAGTGTGTCAGAAATGGAGGTGTTATGAGTCATTGGCCTCCCGTTTCTTTTGATGGAAAAAGTTTAATGTTCACAGTAGGAGTCTCTCTCCCCTCTGATTTGGGATCTGCGTGGGTTTTCTTACTATAGTTGGCATTCTTCTCATTGCTAAAGTCTGAAATTTGCCCCACAGCCTCCTACAGCTTCCTTCAACATAAAAAGCCACTGATACAGTAGGGTAGTTAGGCTTTTACCATATATAGTGTACACAGGCCACGCTCAACCCAGTCAGGCAACACCCACTTGATCACTAGATGATTTTCATGCACACATACACACACACACAAAAAATACAATCTGAAACAAATTAAAATCAGGTCATGTCAAGACAAGCCCAGACAGCTCCTGAGACCCTGCACTGTCAAGTCACAATGGAGTTTCTGGCCTTTTACTTGTATTGGCAAAATCCTATTTACTGAGCTACTTCTGAATGCACTGAAAAAAAACCAATACAGTGAATAGTGTCTCACTGGTACAAGGTCTTTGCTCTTCTGTGCCTTATCCTCCATTTGGGAACGAGTCACACCTTTTGGAATAACTTTTCCTTAGTCATGCCCCAAGGCTTATGTCAGACCAGGCTGGACGTGCTCTCGGTGCCCTCACATAATGTGCTCCCTATAAGCCACCCCTGAAGTTCTGCCTTGGTGGTCTTTTTTTCTACCTTTAGTCTTACCATCCCTGTAGACATTTGTATTTAGCAAACCCTAATTCTAACCTGAACTCAAGTCTTTTGGAAATCAAAGTAGACTGTATTGACATCATCATCATCATCCCCATATTAGCCCAACCCTTTACAGCCCCTTTGAAAAACCTTTTATCAGAATTGTAAAGCCATATTTTCCTCAACAGAATGCTGACTCTTCCCAAATAAATCAGAACTACCCAGATGTCCCCTAATTTTGTTTCTTATCATAGTTTCTAGTAATTTGCCCAACACGCATCAGACTTAGATTCCTACTATTTCCCAGATTTTCCCTGGAATCTTTTTAAAGAATTGATGTCACATCTGCCGCCTTCCAGAAGCAAGGCAATTTTAAGCAATAGGTTACACCCTGCAGTGAGTAATTCAGCTCTTTTGTCCTTGAGTTCCTTTAGAAATTTGGAGTGAATACTATACAGTCCTGGTGATTTTCACTTTATCTATTTATTCCATAATCTCTTCTACAGTAATTTCATTTTCAGACTGCTCTTCAGACGAGTCCCCCACCAAGAAGGGTTCTGGTTTTGGAATCTTTCCAGTTCCTTCTACAGCGAACACCAATGCAAAGGGTTCACTTAACTTCTCTGCAATGACCTTGTTTCTCTGAGTACTCTTTCATGACCTGAAAATGAACTGGTCGTACAGATTCTAGCAAAATTCCTGCCTCTGATGTGTTTCATAGCGAAAAGGATTATTAATTTTGATTCCTTTGTTAGTGATTATCCATATGCTTTTTTGGTCTGCCTTATTATGTTTTCACATTTAACCTCACAGCATTTGTACCTCCTTCTTCTTGTGTCACTGGAATATGACTTCAGCATTTTCAAAGATGGCTTTTTGCTTGTAACAACCTTACTTACCCTGCTGGTTAATTACACCAGCTTCCTTTTGCCCTTTCTGAAGTCTTTCTTAAGAGAAAGTATGTATTCCTACTATAATATTCATAAATAGGTTCTTTGGTGCCTGTACAGAGCTGAGACTCTGAGCTGCCATTCACTTCCTTCTAACAAAATTTGTCTTTCTTACTCCATTACTCTTTTCTGAATTAAAATGAAGCTGTAGAGAAGAAGTGCCTGGATGCAAGCCCCTTGCTGTTCATTGACCATGATCTTATCTAGATGTTGTTGAAGGAGATTCCTGGCAGGGTCCCCTTCCTCAGAGCTGGGTCTAGAGAGAACAGAGAAATAAAAATATGGGGGAATGTGTGCATGTGCTCTTCGAGGACTCTGTGTTCTTACCTGCCCTTGTTTTTTTCCCCCTAGTCCTATGGATAATTAATTCACACAGTTGCCTGTGCTTCCCTCCCTCATAGCACTATCGGTTTCAGTGAACAGTTGTCCCCATTTATATTATTGTGGCACTCTACTGACATCATCTCTGGAATGACAATGGTGATCAGAGTGATGCTCTGCACAGTAAGGCTACAGATATATGTATGCCTCAGGCGTCCCTGCCTGAAGCACCAGGGACAACTCTTCATGATATCTGCTCAGTGACCCAGCTGTGTCATGAGTCTGGCACACACAGGGTCAGCAGGACCAAGGGGAGTGGCTCTGTCCTGAGGCTTCCATGCAGAAGTCAGTTGTGAAGGCTGCAGTGAATGATTAAAGCATTGAGCAGAAAGGAGGTGTAGGGTTCTCCTCTCATCAGCCTCACATAAGAGACCCTGCATGCCTTGGGTAACTCAGATGCCAGTCAGGCTCATAAGAAGATCCATTGCTCAGGGCAATGACCTGCTTGTCTGAATCATACAATACCCTTGGGTACAGGGGAAATGACTGTCTGGTCTGGGAAATCTGTACCACGTCTAACACAGTTCAATTACAGCATTAAAAAATCAATGACTTTTCAAAATAATCAGGTGTAGAAATAGTAACAGGCTGGGGTTCTTCTCACTTCCTTTTCATGGTACTTTTTAACAACTTTTGTTCTGAGATTTTTTAGTACTCATATTTCTCTGCAAACTAATTCAGAAACCTTTTGAAGAAGAGCTGGGGAAAAGTCAAAAATACTTCAGCCAAAAGGTGAAATTCAAAAGATACAACATTTCTCTGTGCCATGGCACTTTCCAACTGATGGAAAACAGTAAGAAAATTGAAAGCTAGGGTCCTGCCTACTATTTTAATTTAAAAAATATTGTTGAATGTGAAAAGAAACATGTAGGATTAACCCATTCTGGCATATTCTAAATTTGAGATCAAAGAGATAAGCTTGTCGCAGTGGGGTCCCACAGAAGTTGGGGAGATAAAATTCCTGAGGCTTTGATCAGCTTTGGCTGATCCTGAGCTGTCATTCAGTGGTTTATATCCTTGGAATATATAGTCATGGTTACAGTATGTTTCTCCTTTAGATATCTGCTCTGCAGAAAGTAAAGTATTTTAAGCTCTTTTGTAAGATCACAAATAAAGATTAAGATCTTGCATAGCATAAATACTGGCCTTTATTTATTTGTTCTCTAGCAGTGAGGCACCACTATTATGGTGGGATTTCTCCTTTATCAGTACACTTCCTATATCCCATTTCCAGCACTATCCATTTGAGCCATAGCTATCTTACTTATTTTTGTTCCGTGCATTAGTATTTGCCAGCGGGTGGCCATGAGTACAACAGAAATTCTGTGCAAGCAGTCAGTACTTCTGACAAGGTTTTCTTGGTTCTACTGCTGTTGAATTATCAGGAGAATAGAGCAGAAAAACATTTTTAGAAAGCTGTGTTTGATGCCAAGTGGAAACAATGACTACCTCCATCAAAAGCCCTTTCTTTACTGGGTACCTGATGCACTACAACTAGCTAAATATAAATGATTCTATTAATATTTTTACAGCTTCAGGCTTTGAGAATAAAAGCATTAGCTCTTATGGGCCGTAGTAGTTCTTATACAATCTGCAGCTCATTTCAGCAGCTATCATCTTTCATTTGTCAGCCCAGAAAAATTGACAAACACAATCCAATGGCTGTTATTGACTGCAAAAGCTGCTATTTTCCTGGTAATTATCTTAGTTCACGCCACAAGTCTAAATTTAAATAATTCAAATTCTTTTGAAGTTATATGAGTCTTCGCTGTTTTGTTCCTCTGCGTTATGCTTGACAAATTTACGTACTATTTAATATTTCTTTTTTTTTTTTTAATATACAAGGAAATTATTCTTGTCAAGCTATTCTGTAAAAACATAGTTTTGGAGTAAGAATTTACTCATGGAAGCATATTGTTGTCTTTGCATAAGCAGAAATTCTGAGTCAGCTCCCTTTTCCAATAGGTTAAGATTTGACTTTATTTGTCTTGTTATTTTAGGGTCTTTCTGATTCACTTAGTTCGCTTTAAATAGTACTTAAAATTCACTTTTAATCCACACAATATAAAAAAAAAAACAATATTTTTCTGTAAATAACAATTCACACTTTCACACTAACATTTATTAGTTCAATCTTTAAGAAAACCATCAACTATCAGAAGATTGGGAATAAAATAATCAGAAGTGGTAATTATGAAAGCATTGTGGAAAGAAGAGCTTTGATAAACAAACAGTATAATAGTAACGAAGGGGACAGTGGAAATTAATGTTTGATAATGATAAGGGAAGTGCTCACAGCAGCAAGCCTGACAGAGCTGAAGAAGCTTTTGGACAATGCTCTTAGGCACACGGTGCGACTCTTGGGGTTGGTCCCGTGCAGGGCTGAGAGTTGGACTTGAGGACCTTTGTGGGTCCCTTTGAACTCAGCAGATTCTATGATTCTGTGATTCTGTATATCTGGAGTTGCATTTCTTTGCAAAATTAAGGGCAAAATTATTTCTTTACAAACATTTCTGATTCTATAATTTGGAGTCAGAATAATGTCAGAGAGGCTGCTCTGTCATTAAAAGACTGAAAAAGAGACTGCTTTTTTAATTCCAAAATATCTAAAAATACAGCGTTCTAAACATGATAAATGGTAGACACTTAATTAGGTGAACTTTATTTGGATAAAAATTGAATTTTAAATTATCTTGAAATATAGGCTTGTAAAATGTAGAAGTGTTCAAACATTCCTGAAAATGAGTAAGGTAGATTACATGATGACATGATGAAAAACAATGGAAAGGTCAGCTTAGACTAGGACAGATCAGAGTAACATAAAAAAATGTTTTAATATAGTGTATATATATGTTAGCATAATATATGTAGTGTGTCATAGTCAATTTTAAGCCAATGATAGCTAATTTCTGCAAATGCATCACTAAGGAATTTATCTTGGAAGCATAGGAAATACCACAGACTACACAAATCTGAGACTCCAGCATTCTACTGCCTGCTCCCTGAAGTACGTGTAAACATTCTATGGGATACACTAATGAAATAAAACATCTGTGGGTATATTTTCTTCCCATGCTTTAGGTAATTTATGTTTGTTTTATAACTTGAATCATGAGAGTTTATATCCCTCATAGATTTTAATACTATCTAAAATAACCCTTGCTATTCTTATTATTCATGTAACAGCATAATCTTTTATTTAAGCCCTATTTAGCTCTTGTCTCTAAGATGTCTTTCAGACATGAGTTTTCAGGCTAATTATGTATCGAGAAAATATTTCTTTTTATCACTACTTTGTGTGACATTTTTTTGTTTCTCAGTGTCTTGTATGGTGAAAAAAGGTTAATAAAGACATGTGTTTTACTTAGTCATAAACTTTGTATATGTCTACTATGGCAGGATGTCACTTATCTCCATTTTCCTCCTAACATGGAAGCATCTAATTTCCTCTGCTGCCTTCCATTCCACTGTTTCACCTTCTGTTGTATTCTTTCAAACCCTGGCAGTATTTAAGAGATGCTGATGGAAATGTGTCATCTTGCAGTGTTTCAGAATAGCAGATATTTTCAGAATAGCAAAGATATTTTATATCAATTTCTCCATGTCGTGGCCAACAAATCTAATTCTTGGGACTCTTCTCAGGACTGGGTTTATGTGCAGTTGTCCACTAGAGTGCAGGCTGAGACCAAAAAACTCATTTTGTTCCTGTCACAAACTGACTTTGAACCCAGGTGTCTTAATGTAAATTGTTAGTATATTAAAGCACTGCACCTTCTAGCTTCAGCTGTGAGTATGTATACCGATATCAAACTTGATGGAAATAGCTTGTGAAGCTTAGTGACCTAAGGTGGTAATAATAAAGTATTCTGGAACCTGGATAACATTTTATTCTGTCACTATGGTTTTCTTGCTCTAGTGACATCAACTAATTTCTACTGCGTTATAGAAAATCTCTGTATCTGGCTTTTCAGCTAGTCTCCATTTCCTCACACTGCTCTTACCCTTCTCTGTCAGACTGAATTTCTTTCAGAGACAAAATATTGTTCTGTATTGATTCCACTGTGCTAGCTAATTTCAGTTTCTCATCCTGCAGACCAGCTGAAGTGCTGTACAAAATATTGAAAAATTTTCTAACACAAAATGCACGGATAAATTGACCCATATAATATCTCCCAACAAGAATCCCCCACTCTCTAATCCTTTAAAAGACCATTAAAGTCAATTTAACAGACTCTGCATGGAAACATTTTTATTCTAAAAAGTTGTACTAACAAGACTAGCCAGTTTTCACAAAGCCCATAAAATTCTTATAACTTTTGGCCTGTTTTTTATTTTGCTTGTGTAAGACATTCATCTTCTGTGGAAAAATGCTCACCCCAGAAGACATATATACCAGCAGAGAGATTTGGTGTTCTCCTTGTTACTGTCCCTGTAGAACCTACTGAATTTTTTGCAGAAGTAAAAGGCAGTTTTTTAGTTTACTTTCCTGTAAATGAATACTGTATATAATTTTCCTTGTGCTTTCGCAGTTTTGAAAAAAAGTAAAGCACATCTGTTATTTATTTTCTTTATCTCCCTAGGCTGCTGTGAAGACTGGCCTCAAAAGACAGTCCTTCTTCAGTACTTTGAACCCTCAAAACATTCTGTTGTATTCTTAGAAAAAGGAATTGGATATATCTAAGTAATGTCTCTCTCCCCTTTCCACAGTCTACAGCTCACCCATCTTTGAATTGCTTAATGACTCCTGCTTCAAAAATCACATCCCGATATTTGCTTTCTTTACCTAATCGTCTCTTTTCTATAGCACAAAGCTCCTCATTTACCATATACTGTCTTTGCCACCTGAGTCAATGCCTTCCTAAAGTGAATGTGTTTTTATTTATAACGGTTTTAAAGTTACAAGAGCATTAAAAAAATATGGATACAAACTGAAAGATAAAAAAATAATCTTGGTAGAAGCAAGTGCTCAGCTTGGGTTATTTCAGTCTGAACAAATCATCTTTGTCTGATGTAGACAACTAAAAGCAGAATCTCATAATAGGAAAGTGCCAGGAAATATTGAAAAGGAATCATGCTGTCAACTCT